TAGCGTGGGTATAAAGTTGGGTTAGGTAGTTCTGCAATCAACCAATTATTTATGTTTATTTATACTATTTTGGTGATACCAGTTTCAGGGTTCATCCCCTTCCTCAGCCACCTCGTCAATAACCCTATAACACTTAAAAAAATCAATATTTGGTTAGATTTTTAGACTTATTAGTGTTAATATTATCAGGAATTTGATCTGCCGTTTTTTGAGCCTAAAATACTTGATCGTTGACCATTATTCTTGCTATACCACACGAAAATAGTATAAATAAAAATAAATAATTGGCTGAGTGTTGAACTGTCTAACCTAAAATTATTTTCATCTTTTGTGGACTTTGGCCTCACAGAATCGCAGAAAACAACTTTCAAACTTACAACCCAAGCTAAAATTAACTTAATAGCAGTTATTTTAATAACAGATAAGAGAAATAAACCTAAAAGAAAAAGTCATAATTGTGTTATTAATTGTGAAGTAACTATTAAAAAAATCTAAAGAATGTGATGCCAAAAGTTACTTTAAATCAAATAATGGCTTTCATCCATAGAAACTTTTGGCCTCATAATTACATGATGAATAACTTTCGGACTCATGTGCTAACATACAGTAAAGTACAAGGTACATGAATAAATCTAAAATCGGAGACCCAAAATTTGGTCAAATCGAGGCAGTAAAATTCATGTGAATCAGTATTCGGGGCTATATATTCAGGCACACCCCCAAGTGTAAAGATTAAGATTTTTTCCATAAAACGAAACATTTTCTATGAGGTTAAGACAAAATTACGACTGTGAATGGTAGAAGTATCTGTAGACGCATTCATAAAAATATTTTTTATTCAAAGTTAAAGTGATAATTTAAATTATTTAAATACTTGCTACTTAGCCAAATATAAAGGACGACAGGTCCAAAGTTGCTATAAATGAGCTAATTATTTTGATATGTTTGTTTCCATATTAGCGTGGGTATAAAGTTGGGTTAGGTAGTTCTGCAATCAACCAATTATTTATGTTTATTTATACTATTTTGGTGATACCAGTTTCAGGGTTCATCCCCTTCCTCAGCCACCTCGTCAGTAACCCTATAACACTTTAAAAAATCAATATTTGGTTAGATTTTTAGACTTATTAGTGTTAATATTATCAGGAATTTGATCTGCCGTTTTTTGAGCCTAAAATACTTGATCGTTGACCATTATTCTTGCTATACCACACGAAAATAGTATAAATAAAAATAAATAATTGGCTGAGTGTTGAACTGTCTAACCTAAAATTATTTTCATCTTTTGTGGACTTTGGCCTCACAGAATCGCAGAAAACAACTTTCAAACTTACAACCCAAGCTAAAATTAACTTAATAGCAGTTATTTTAATAACAGATAAGAGAAATAAACCTAAAAGAAAAAGTCATAATTGTGTTATTAATTGTGAAGTAACTATTAAAAAAATCTAAAGAATGTGATGCCAAAAGTTACTTTAAATCAAATAATGGCTTTCATCCATAGAAACTTTTGGCCTCATAATTACATGATGAATAACTTTCGGACTCATGTGCTAACATACAGTAAAGTACAAGGTACATGAATAAATCTAAAATCGGAGACCCAAAATTTGGTCAAATCGAGGCAGTAAAATTCATGTGAATCAGTATTCGGGGCTATATATTCAGGCACACCCCCAAGTGTAAAGATTAAGATTTTTTCCATAAAACGAAACATTTTCTATGAGGTTAAGACAAAATTACGACTGTGAATGGTAGAAGTATCTGTAGACGCATTCATAAAAATATTTTTTATTCAAAGTTAAAGTGATAATTTAAATTATTTAAATACTTGCTACTTAGCCAAATATAAAGGACGACAGGTCCAAAGTTGCTATAAATGAGCTAATTATTTTGATATGTTTGTTTCCATATTAGCGTGGGTATAAAGTTGGGTTAGGTAGTTCTGCAATCAACCAATTATTTATTTTTATTTATACTGTTTTGGTGGTACCAGTTTCAGGGTTCATCCCCTTCCTCAGCCACCTCGTCAGAAAACTTATAACACTTTAAAAAAGTCAATATTTGCTTAGATTTTAAGAATTATTAGTGTTAATACTATCAGGAATTTGATCTGCCGTTTTTTGAGCCTAAAATACTTGATTGTTGACCATTATTCTTGCAATACCACACGAAAATAGTATAAATAAAAATAAATAATTGGCTGAGTGTTGAACGATCTAACCTAAAATTATTTTCATCTTTTGTATACTTCGGCCTCACAGAATCGTAAAAAACACCTTTCAAACTTACAACCCAAGCTAAAATTAACTTAATAGCAGTTATTTTAATAACAGATAAGAGAAATAAACCTAAAAGAAAAAGTCATAATTATGTTATTAAATGTGAAGTAACTATGAAAAAAATCTAAAGAATGTGATGCCAAAAGTTACTTTAAATCAAATAATAGCTTTCATCCATAGAAACTTTTGACCTCATAATTACATGATGAATAAGTTTCGGACTCATGTGCTAGCATATCTTAAAGTACAAAGTACATGAATAAATCTAAAATCGGAAACCCAAAATTTGGTCAAATCGAGGCAGTAAAATTCATGTGAGGCAATATTCGGTGCTATATTCAAATACACCCCCAAGTGTAAAGATTCAAATTTTTTCCATAAAACGAAACATTTTCTATGAAGTTAAGACAAAATTACGACTGTGAATGGTAGAAGTATCTGTAGACGCATTCATAAATATATTTTTTATTCAAAGCTAAAGTGATAATTAAAATTTTTTAAATACTTGCTACTTAGCCAAATATAAAGGACGACAGGTCCAAAGTTGCTATAAATGAGCTAATTATTCTGATATGTTTGTTTCCATATTAGCGTGGGTATAAAGTTGGGTTAGGTAGTTCTGCAATCAACCAATTATTTATTTTTATTTATACTATTTTGGTGGTACCAGTTTATGGGTTCATCCCCTTTCTCAGCCACCTCGTCAGAAAACTTATAACACTTTAAAAAAGTCAATATTTGGTTGGATTTTAAGACTAATTAGTGTTAATATTATCAGGAATTTGATCTGCCGTTTTTTGAGCCTGAAATACTTGATTGTTGACCATTATTCTTGCTATACCACACGAAAATGGTATAAATAAAAATAAATAATTGGCTAAGTGTTGAACGATCTAACCTAAAATTATTTTCATCTTTTGTATACTTCGGCCTCACAGAATCGTAAAAAACACCTTTCAAACTTACAACCCAAGCTAAAATTAACTTAATAGCAGTTATTTTAATAACAGATAAGAGAAATAAACCTAAAAGAAAAAGTCATAATTATGTTATTAACTGTGAAGTAACTATCAAAAAAATCTAAAGAATGTGATGCCAAAAGTTACTTTAAATCAAATAATAGCTTTCATCCATAGAAACTTTTGGCCTCATAATTACATGATGAATAAGTTTCGGACTCATGTGCTAGCATATCTTAAAGTATTAGGTACATGAATAAATCTAAAATCGGAAACCCAAAATTTGGTCAAATCGAGGCAGTAAAATTCATGTGAGGCAATATTCGGTGCTATATATTCAAACACACCCCCAAGTGGTGAGATTCAAATTTTTTCCATAATACGAAACATTTTCTATGAGGTTAAGACAAAATTACGACTGTGAATGGTAGAAGTATCTGTAGACGCATTCATAAAAATTGTTTTATTAAAAGTTAAAGTGGTAATTTAAATTTTTTAAGTACTTGCTACTTAAACAAATATAAAATACGAGAGTTCGAAAGTTGCTATAAATGAGCTAATTATTTTGATATGTTTGTTTCTATATTAGCGTAGGTATAACGTTGGGTTAGGTAGTTCTGCAATCAAACAATTATTTATTTTTATTTATACTATTTTGGTGGTACCAGTTTATGGGTTCATCCCTTTCCTCAGCCACCTCGTCAGAAAACTTATAACACTTTAAAAAAGTCAATATTTGGTTAGATTTTAAGAATTATTAGTGTTAATATTATCAGGAATTTGATCTGCCGTTTTTTGAGCCTAAAATACTTGATTGTTGACCATTATTCTTGCAATAGCACACGAAAATAGTATAAATAAAAATAAATAATTGAATGAGTGTTGAGCGATCTAACCTAAAATTATTTTCATCTTTTGTATACTTCGGCCTCACAGAATCGTAAAAAACACCTTTCAAACTTACAACCCAAGCTAAAATTAACTTAATAGCAGTTATTTTAATAACAGATAAGAGAAATAAACCTAAAAGAAAAAGTCATAATTGTGTTATTAATTGTGAAGTAACTATTAAAAAAATCCAAAGAATGTGATGCCAAAAGTTACTTTAAATCAAATAATGGCTTTCATCCATAGAAACTTTTGACCTCATAATTACATGATGAATAACTTTCGGACTCATGTGCTAACATGCAGTAAAGTACTAGGTACATGATTAAATCTAAAATCGGAAACCCAAAATTTGGTCAAATCGAGGCTGTAAAATTCATGTGAGGCAATATTCGGTGCTATATTCAGGCACACCCCCAAGTGTAAAGATTCAGATTTTTTCCATAAGACGAAGCATTTTCTATGAGGTTAAGACAAATATTGGTGGATTGAGAAATAAATCTAAGAAATAAATTTAAGAAATAAATTCATAATGATGTTGTTATAAAATAGTAATGTTTCTTTTTTCGAAATCGCGCAGTAATGTGCTTTTTCTATGTTCAAAAATCGGCATAGAAATTAAATGCGGTGTTATCATATTAGTATTATCTAGCTCCACAATTACATTTTACAAGGTTATAAATTGTTTTTCGGTTTAGCAGTAATTCTATACACTTTGTTAACCTTTTTTATTAGTTATTAGAAACACATATAATTTATTAACTAAATTTGCGCGTAATCTTGCAACGTCGCAACCTTTCATGGCAACAGCGGATTTCGTGAAGTGCAGCGACATTCTATGGCAGCGAACAATGTGTATCTACCACGTATCCACATAACCTGTAATAAGTTTTTGTTCGGTGCAGAAACAACCCTGGAAACATGGGGGTGTCACTCGAATACAAATTTAGGAAGCAAGCCTCAGCGCCCTCGGTGTCGAGCTGACCAAGTAATGAAAAACGCGCACTTTGAAAACGTTCAAATCATCCAATGAGAGTGCGATGCCGTTAGCTGGCATCAGCTGGTTTTGTGGTGTGCATACGTGCGATTAAAAAAGCCGCTGCTATGAAAGTGTAAAATCGTTCAGGGAAAAAAGCCGGACTGAGGTAAGTATTTAGAATAGGAATATACTTATTAATAGTTCTATTTTAGGCATTTCTTACATCTCTCGAACATGGAGAAACCACGCCGTATTGCATATCGATGTAAATATCCAAACTGCGGAAATGTGTTCTACAAGGGTGGTGGTAATGACCTTAGATTTTACCATTTTCCAAGAAATTTGGAAATGGAGGAACTTTGGAGATAAATTTGTAAAATTGATGCAAGTAAACCGTGTAAGTCCTTATACTTGTGTAAAAATCATTTTCACTCGACAGATTTTCATGATCCATTACATCGAAATAGACTGTTGCCTAATGTGGTCCCAAAGGAATATGTCTCCAAAGAGTCCATGAGCAGTCAAGTGGTTGCAGCGGAAATTTACACTCAGTTGCTGTGGAATCCGTAGCTAGTTGCTCATTTTCTGCTGAAACAGACTTTTCTACCGTAGAAGAAAGTAACGTTTGCTGAGAGGAAATTGCTTCAGAGTTGTAGTTCGCCTCCTCGTGGTGCACCTTGAGTAACGCTAAATGAATTGGCACATATCGATATTGACAGAAATATCTCGTCAAGTAAGTGGACTATTATTGTTTTCAAATTTCCAAAATTGTTTGTTTAGGTACGCAGTTGTTCATTTTCCTTACAACACAATCTGACAGGAGGGATGATAACCCTAGAAGCTTCACATTGTGAGTTACATATCTTTCTCTTATTATTATTGTATCTAATATTTGTATTTCTTGATTTGGTTATTTGATATGTATTTAGATGTATGATAATAAATAGGTTACATTACATTCTGTATACTTTTTGTAATTTCATATGAGAATTTACATTAAAATAACCCGCAAAACTAGGTGGTTGCCTATACAGGAGTAGGTGGTTGCCTATACAGAAGTAGGTGGTTGCCTATACACAAGTAGGTGGTTGCCTATACAGAAGTAGGTGGTTGCCTATATGGAAGTAGGTGATCCGCGTATTCAAATTTACGCGCGTATAGTATAGTTGGCCAGCTGCACACCGAGGGCGCAAATTTGTTTCCATCGTTAACAACGTAGGTATCATTTCTTATATTGAAGTTCTGTGCCTGGAAACAACCATGGAAAACATTATATGGAGAATATCTCATTGCATACGAGTATTTCGCTGAAAAAGAAAATTCTGTGAAATCAACATTTTGGGCTACATAGTCGTTGTTAAAGTCAACTCTGTTAATATAAAACAGCATAGATATAATCTAAGTACACCAAGTTCTCAAGCAAAAAATATAGGTTATGTTTCCCAGAAATCAAATATAGTTACAAGAGAAAACTTACGAAAATTTTTAGCAGAGGCCCGTGATTAATGTACCTAATGTCAAAGGTAATCTCAAAGAAAGTCAATCACATTGTCTACAAAACATAATGTTTTAGGTATATTTTTTATTCGAACCTGGTTGTAGGAGTATGCGGAATGGAAGAATTTGAACAATTTTCTTGTATCTACATAACCTATAATAAGCTTTTATTATTATTACAGAACAGATTATTAGCTTACATGCCCATTTTAAATGAAAGTATGAAGCATACCTCTTATTTTTTGGCACTTTTAATAATATTTTTGCTTGCAGAAAGATCTGCAGCAATTGCAAAATAGAGATGGATAGCTATAATAACAAGAACTTTACATGCATTCGACCGAACTTGCAAAAACTGGCAGATAATATATCAAATTTATTACCCAAAAACTCAGCCACAGTTTATGAAAAGCGGTATGAAAATTTTTTTTTTTGGCGCAGAAACAACCATGCGAAATACATGGAGAACACCTCATTGCATACGAGTATTTCGCTGGAAAAGCAAATTCTGTGAAATCTTTAACACTTTGGGTGCATAGTCGTAGTTAAAGTCAAGTAGATATATCTAAGTACACCAAGTTTTCAAGCAAAAAATATAGGTTACGTTGCCAAGCAATCAAATATATTTACAAGAGAAGACTTACCAAAATTTTTAACAGAAGCCCATGATTAAATGTACCTGATGTTAAAGGTGATCTCAAACAAGGTCAATCACATTGTCTATAAATCATTATGTTTTAGGTTTATTTTTTATTACAAGTTGTAGGAGCATATAGAATGGATAAATTGAGAAAGAATGACGGCATTCAAGACAAAAACGATACGCTAATAATTAAAATTCCTACGTCTAAAACTGGCAAAGCACGAGAATTTACAAATATGTGTAAAAATATTTATCCAATTGAAATATAGTAAAAATACCTAATTTTAAGACCGCACCATACACCAGACAAATCATTATTTATACATTACATTTGGATAGTGAATGCAGCAGCTGTTGCATTGTACAAATATACCTGCAAACACATTGTAACAAATTATGCAGACACCTCTTTTGACTAAAAGATATATATTTAACTTTATCCATACGTTGTCAACTTTGTTAATAATTGCAATCTTTAACTTCATAAGAAATATGAATAATCTACTTTGGTGTTGTATAGTAGTATTAAATGTTCATAGAATATAATTGCACTTACTACGAAGTAAGCTTTCCTAGTTTTAAGTTGTGTTTTCTTTTCTCTTTGATTATCTTAATTTCTTCAGCCTCTGTGTGGCTGTTTTAATTCCAGAAAATTGTTTCTGAATAAACTGATTCATACCACTTTTTCTTTCTTTTACACGAAAACAGTTTAAACTATAATTCCAAATATTTACTTGCCTTAAAACGTGTCAAGCATTCGCTTGTTTGTAAATGATGCAACCATAAATACAAATTTGAACACTGATATGACAGGTTTGAGGCTAGGATGTGGTTTTCATATTCTCCCATTACTTGTTGCCTAAATCTGGCGCGAGGCCAAAAGTTATCATTGACGTATATATATATATATATATACGTATCCAACCGTCGTTACCAGACCCAACATATTAAACAGACGTTACCAAGCCCGGCTGTTTTTCCGAGTATAATATAATAAATTTAATGGTTTTTGCAATAACAAACTTAAAAAAAAGTAGAGGGGTAAAATTATTCCTTGAAAAAAGTTAACACCATATTCATCCAACGTTACCAGACCCACTATGTCCAACAGCTTTCTCAGTCCCATTTCAGTATAAATAACACAGTAAACCGACGTTATCAATCCCGACATTGTTGCCACATTAAATTTATGGAAAATCGCTTCACATTGTATTGATCTGTAAAATTTCTTGTGTATCTTGAAAGTTGGATTTACAACCAGTGGATATGCAAAAATGTGACAAAAGAAAATAAGGAAAACCAAAAATATATCTTATCTGCCTGTCTTTTTGACGCCATGAGTGCCATGACAAACGGATAACTCATTAATAAAATAAACGCCAAGGCGATTTTTTTATTAACAGATATGCAAGTTTGATAGACATTAGTAACATTTTCTTTTTACTAGTTGTACATGTCTATCGAGTTAGTTCAACCAAAATTTGGATACCTATTCCCACCTAAAATTTTAAGAAAATTTATAAAATAACATAATTTTACACTTGCGATTTATTAATGCAATGTTTATTTGACTTTTGGCTTAAAGATTTGTAAAAAAATGTTAGCAGAAAAATTTTCTAGTTTATTTCATAAAGTTTTTAAATGATATCTAAGCTTTTCTTACACATAACATAAATCACAAATTAAGATTTTTTAATATTAACATCCTAAAAAAATCGAAATTTTTACCACAAAATGGTACAATATGTGTTAGAAACTTTAAGATTGATTTAGAGATCTAAAATTGCATATTCTTTAAGAGTAACTTTAATATTTCAAATTATTAATTAAAAAATTTAAGAACGCTAAACTAGTAATAAAAAGACCCTTTTCAAAATAGTTACAATGCTCCATAGCAATTATTATTTAATCAATACTTGTTAATAAGGGCGATTAATAATCGCCTATTAACAAACGAGTTGGTTGCAATACTTCTCCGGTGATTGCAATTTCATACACGAAACTGCTAAAAATCAGTTCCAAATTTCATGATATTTATAACATTTAAATAAAAAATTTCACATCAAGTGCGCGGGGGTATATCTGATTGCTGTATTAACCCATTAATATATAAATCGTTTATAAATAGCCGTAATTAATGAATGATTTCGAAACAGAATCACCAAAAAATGTTTAGCTGGCACCTTTAGAAGCACAACAAAATGCTCCATAATTTTCTGCAATTTTAAGCTTGTCTCTGTCTATATTGTTAAATAGAAAAAAATAATTTCATGAATTATCGGTAATCTTAGTGTCAAAACTCAATGCATAAAACGTTTGCAAATTTACAGGCCCTCGAAGGATCTCGATCCTTTAATAATACTTAGCGTGGCAAACGCTACAATGAAATTAGTACATGTGAAGTCCATGTGTCATTTTAGTTTTCGTGCACATATTTTGTCTGAACCATATGAATTCTGCAAAATAATCATTATGCTTGCTGAGACACATTTTAAGACTTTCATCTTTCTCTAGATTGTCTGTTTCCCATCTAAGTGTCCCACGTAACATTTTCGGGCGCAATAACTCAGGTATTTTTGAACGGATTGTTATGAAATTTGAAATGTAAGTATTTTGATAGGTGAGTATTAATATGAACCGGTGAGAATAATCATTATCTTGAAAAAGTAAATTTTCCATGCCTTAATTTAATTTTGATATAATTAAGTTTAATTAAGTTGCATCACTTGATTAAACATGAAAAATAAATACTGTATGCAAAAATTCATCTCCGAAATACGTCTGGTTAGCCAAACCCATAAATTATTGCGAAAATAATTCAAAAATTATTAAAAGATAGGTAGCTATGGAACAAAAAACTGCTATCCTCGCATTTTGGACACCCTTGCGGGAATTTGATACCTGTTTGTCAAGCGTTATTTTTTTAATTTTAAGAAAATACTAATTTTCAGTCATTAATTTTTTTGAGACAGCTGTATAACCAAATCTAAAAAATATTAATGCAGTGATAAATCACAAGTATAAAGTCATCATATTTTGCATATTTAAGATAGGATTTATTTAGCAAAATTTTGAGGTGTTGTCATCAATTGTTTTTTAGGGTGGATGAGCAAATACATTCTGATCAAAGATTTACCATGTTTATGATAATCTTAAACATCTCCATGATTTTAAAACATTCGGTTTTGCAGTTCCTGATTAAATTAAAAAAATAAATCACGCATTCAATAATTTTTTTGTGTCATCCTGTTTATGCAAATTAAAAAAATATGAATAAAATGCGGATTTATACCACAAAATTTTGATGTTTCATAATTTTGATTTTTTTCCAAAATTCTGCACTTTTCGGGTAAAACTCAATACGAAGTCATAAACTACATGTATAGGACTATGTTATTTCATACAATTTAAAACCCATTTACTATGTGCAATTTTAAAGTGACGTCATCACATTGTTGGTGAGGACGATTAGACAAATTTTGGTTAGCGTTTTACCATCTACATTTCTAATTACTCGTAAATACAAAATTTGACAACAATCGCCCCGTACTTTCGGAGATTATCTGCCTAATAAAAATCCGGGGCTGCAGACAGACGGACAGACGGAAATGAGAGACCTATTTCTTCGTCTTGTAGGGGTAATGAAAGGTCGAGAAAACGTAGAAGTAGAGAGTCGGCCGATGGACTTGATTGCAATACTTCCTTTACTTACGCTCAGTAAGTAAAAAATCAACTAAATGCGAAATTCTAACGAACAGAAATAAATAAAACATTTGCCGACAAATACCTATATTCATTAAAAAAAATTGAATAAAAACTAAATGTTGCTTTAAAAAGATTGTTGTCGAAATCTACCAATAGATGAACAAATTAGATGTAGCTAAAAGAATGATCTCTATCAGTTAATATTAAGTGAGGATCAATTAATTTAGAATATAATCAAGTTCCTATCTTCAAATAAAAATTAAGTAAAATATGGATACGTAGATCATTATAGCGAATTTAAAAATAAGAGAGGATTAAAAAAAACTACACTTACAGAAGCATACAATTTTGCACTTTGCAAATTACATTCAGTTAAACGCTTTGGTGATCTGACCTGGCCACGTTCATTATAACTGTAAGTGCTCATTCACAATGGGCATAAAACATAAGGATGTCATAAGCATTAATGCATAAGAATTTATGTTTAGTGCTCTATGCTTCTATTCGTTTACAATGAGCATAATGCTTAGGACATCCTTATGCTTTATGCCTCTTGTGAATGAGCACTTATGCTCATTGTGAACGAATACAACCATAGAGCACTAAACATAAATTCATATGCATTAATGCTTATGACATCCTTATGCTTTATGCCCATTGTGAATGAGCACTAAGGCATAATTATGCAAAATTTTGAGGAGTCGTTTTCTAATTTCAGAAATTAATTGTCAAATGTTGTATAATTTTTATATATTTTTCAAAAAATTTACATACATACATATATCGTCTACTAAATATAAATACAACGATCTGATTTAAAAAAAATCATTTTTAACTTTCATTTGTTTTTATCTACGACATACAACTTTTGTTTTTTAAATGACACCAGACACCCTGAATATTTTTTTAAGATTCATGTAGAGATTTTTTCTAAATTTATTGATGTATCATAGTGTACATAATATTTTCAAACATTAATAATTTAATACATCATATTTGCAATAAAATGTTTTGAGTTAATAATGTTTTCGTATAGAAGTTTAATTTTCAAATTTAAAACTCCTATACATTAATAAGTGTTATAAACCGTGTTAAACTTGCTATGTAACAAAAATTTTGGTACATTTTTCAGTTACAGTTACCTTGCTATAAAAATTAAATTAATTTTTACCACAACTTTTTAACAAAATGCGAAACATGGTACATCAATGTATTCAGAAAAAAAAATCACAAAAATTAAAAAAATATCTAGGATGTCATTTAAAAAACAAAAGTTGAATGTCATAGGCAAAAAAAAGAAAATTAAAAATTAGTTTTATATATATATATCAATATATATGTTAATGATAACTTTCGACCTCAAATTCTCTCACGTATATATACTTTTGGGCTCAAATTGGAAGTTTCGGCCTCGCCGTAGCTTTTGAGGCCGAAGTGACTCACACATTCAACGTAACATTTGGACTCACGCATATCCAGTGACATCTTTTAACAGTAATTTTAACAATTTTGGTTTGAGAAAAGATTGTTAAGTATAAAAGTTGGTTGCATAGATGATTTACTTAACAAAGCTAATATTATGACTAGGTTTTATATAAATGCGGGAAGTTGTTTGAAGGTAGTAATTTCCAGAAGAATGTTGGAAATTTATCTAAAATTAAAGAAAATATAAAGCAACTGAAAACAATTGGACAGTAGAAGAGCCAAAAATTCAGAAAGAAGTTAGAGAGTAAGAAAGAAAAAAAAAAGATACACAACAGCTATAGAATGTAAGAAACGGAAAGTTGAGGACATGGAATGAAGACAGGGAAATTTGGATGAAAAATTTTACAAAGAGAGTTGGAATTAACTGAGCAAGGAAGCATAAAGAGAAGGGGT